AATTATCTTTTTTTCTTTGACCGTTATTTTCATTGTTACATTTCTTGCTAACTCGTATTATGAGATTTGAAACTGATATTTGTAAATCTTATAATCTTGTTTTATAAAATTGTTTTATTTTTACAGAAACATTGGAAATCTATTTTATACATGTATGTATTTGAAAGTTTTCTTTGCGCAGGTTATTGATTGATTGCGAGGGAAAACTTCAAAATATTAGAACGCCCCGCGAAATTCAAAATGATGGACTTTTGCGACATAGCAAATTTATTCTAACGAAGGCAAGTGTATTTATTTTTTCTCTTTATTGAATAATTGGTAACACATATGAACATTCCTAAAAAATAATTTTCGAAAAGAGATGCTGAAATCAGTGTTGAATACATACTGCGCATTGCGTGTGCGCAGCTTCGTTTAATTTACAAAAAAACGCGCCATATTTTAATAGTACCAGGCATATTTGAAACTCTAAGAAGAAATTCCAATAAGAATTCAGAGTTATAATTGTTGCAAATTGGTTGTATTATGGAATATTCATAGGTACTTGATAATACTAAAAAATATGCGTAATAATATTAATGCATAATAATATTTTAATATTCTGTTCTATTCCTCTTATTTATAATTTTATCTTAAAATTTAATTTCAATTATTGATTATAAATGTGGTCACCTGTGCTTTATCGGCACAAGAATACATATCAGGAAGTTCTAGAGTATCACACAGAGTGCGTTACTATCGCGAATAGATATCAACGTATATTTAGTGTGTTGCTGTCAAATTTATAAATTGTTTCTTTTGAAGAACGTTCTATTTTTTAACAAGAGCAATAGTTACCTATATTAAAATTAATTTGAAAAATTGACAACGTTTTAAACGGTATGTTTGACATTTATATTGATTTTTGTACACGATAAATACCTAACCTATATCAAAACGTATGTATATTTCGAAGTAACGTTGTAATACATTCAGAAAAATTATTAATCGCCTAATTAATGTAAATGTATTTTATTTAGCACATATAATTAATAAAGATGAAAAATGTGTATTATAATGTAAAATATTTTATTCTTTGAGAGAATATGTATATAACCTGCATATTATTGTAGTTATTTAGTCTTTATTACATCATTATGTTATTAATCTTTGTATTAATTTTAATTTCAAAATTCTCTACCAACTTAAAATTACGTAATTTTATATTAATAATAGATATAATATTTTATATTAATAATGGATATAGTGATATGATAAAAGTTATGTCAATTGTATTATTTATATACGATTTAAATAGTTATGAAATAAATAAATTATTTATTAACAGGTTGTAATAATAATTATTGATTCGTGCTATTTGTGTTAACAAACGAATAATTGTGACTAAATTATACAAATGATTAAGGTTGTATCACTACTTTAATTCCTACTAAACTAATCTATATCCTGTTATAATTTTCTGTCGTAGGTGTTAAATTTTACGCTGAATTTTATTGGATATTTTTATCGAATGAAATATTACTGATATAAAATGACCGACTGTCAAGATACAGAGAAGACCAAAGATTCTATGGAACATTATACTTTTGATGGTGAATCTTATATATATAAAGATCCTACAACTAATGTTACATACAAGTTTGATCAAGACAAGAACGAATGGTTGGTAAAAGATACAGAAGAAACGAAAACAAAAGATTCTGATGATAACGAAGTTAAGGCACAAGAAGGGATATTTGGTTTTGAAAACGATACCCATACATATACAGATCCTAATGATGGCAGTGTGTACTTTTGGGACAAAGAGAAAAATGCCTGGTTCCCAAAGGTGAGGTGTGTCTTTTACAAAAGATATTTCAATTTCAAATTTCTTAATGTATAATCCATAATGCATTAAATTGATTATTTTTTAAATGATTATTTTTTTCAGGTGGATGAAGATTTCATGGCAAGATATCAGATGAGTTACGGATTTGAAGATGCAAACAGAGTAGAAACAAAATCTGAAGAACAACACTCTCAAGTAGAAGCAAAGATTGATAAAGAAAAAAGAAAGATGGAAGCCAAGAGAAAAGCACAAGAGCCACCGACGTGGTTTGAAGTGGATGAAGCTCACAATACTGCTATTTATGTGTCTGGCCTACCGTTAGATATTACTATCGACGAACTCACAGAATTTTTTAACAAGTGTGGTCTCATAGCAAGAGATGAGAAAGGAAAGGACAGGATCAAGTTGTACAAGGATTCGAATGGACAACCAAAGGGTGATGCTCTCTGTATCTATATAAAGGTAAGTAACTATTTGTTTAAAATATTTTACAAATAACTTCATTGAACTATGATAATATCAGATTGATTTAACTTCTAAAAATAATTATTTCGACATACGTAGCATGTTGAACATTACGAAATCATTCTTTGTATTAAATTTCATAAAGATGGTTTGACATAGAATTTTTATTGACATACATTATGTTAAATACAGAAATACAGATTTCAATAATTTGCTTAGCTTATTTTGCAAACAAAACAGTGTGTAATTCTTGTAACGAGAATCGTTACTTCTTCACGAATTAATTGTAGATTTTCAAGTATTACACAACTTAATATAGAAAAAAGTATGGAATTTATAATTTTAAAGTTACATTATGCGAATGTAGAATAATATGCAAATGGGAGAGTATAATGTACATAAATATAAATATAAATTTAAGTACATCACACAATATATCTCGAGACATCTAGCTTATTAATTAAAGTATAATCAACTTATGAATTCTGAAACTTTCCGGCGGTAAAAAAGTTTTATTCTATCGTACTTATATATACAATATCATTAAATTAAAACATAAAAAATAAGAGTCTTGTAGAATTTACATCTATATATTGACAGCATGTTCTAAGTAATATGTAAATAAGCATCAAGTATTATATATATATATATATTTTTTTTTTATGATATTTTCTGAACAACATTAATATGCAATCAGTGCATTGTTCATTGGTAGTGATGTAGTTCGAAAATTTGGATATAGTCAACATACATTTATCGACATTTAAGCAGCTTGACTATTTGTCATACATTGTCTGCCACTATAATCATCTACATTACGGTTTTAAACATTTACTTAACGCGAAAAAAAGAAAAATTCGTAATTGGAAACGAAGGCATTCATTTAAGACATATCTTAAAAATTGTCTTCTGAATAATAATGAAAAATAAGGAGACCATGAATAAATAATTCTGCCATAACTGGATTAAAACTGGATATCTTTAAGAAAGTTATATTTAAACAATTTTACTTTATATTTAATTGTACTCTTGCATTTTGTCAACATGTCTTTTCGTATAAATGCCTTCGAATGTGATAGTCAGCGACAAGCGAACACTAGTGTTGAAAAAATATAATTCGCTAATGAACGATACGCGTTTCATGCATGTTAATTAAATTAAAAAAAAGAATTGAAATTTAAACACTCATCGTACGCGATATACGAACATTGAAAGTTATTTGCTCTACCGATTCGAGGTAACGTTACTAACTAGACAAGTACATCTTCGGGAAATCTAACGTCTAGATTAGAAAGAGAGGAACATGAGAGACTGTTTTCGCCGATCTAAAATGAGTAAAATTATATTTCAGTCTGTGCTCGACTTCGATAGCGTCAGAAACGACTTCTCATCGCCTAGAAAAAATCGGAACGAAACGAAGATCATAACTCTTTACTTGATCGAATGAAAGACATCCTACAATGGGATCGTAAGAAAGAGTGAAAAACATAGATGGAAAGTGATCTTCCGTAGAAGTGGTATGACGATGATCGATGATCGAAAGCTACCAAATAAAGAGTTAAAGAATTACAATAAATAACGTTTTGCTTATGGCTTCAAAAGAACTTCTTCGCTCGCCAGGTTGTTGATTTTGTCAGGAATTTGAGAGAAAGCTTTGCTCATGGCCGTTAGACTTTGTGGATCGTTACTTTGGGGACCATCAGCTGGAAATGCACCGTACTCTCGATCTCGCGGCAAGACTTGCGGATGACTCGGTTGAGTTCTGTTCGGCTGATGTCGCATTCGATTTCTCGAATACAGTTCTCTGACGCTGCAATTGGAATTTCGGTTTGAAATTAGTGAGAAATCTTAATCTCCGACGTACTCTCCAGTATTTTTCAGTCGAATTTCTCGAGCGACTACTAACTTAAACAAAAAAAAAGTCAAACATAATGATGATGTAAATCATTACTTACTTAGTAGGTGGCCTCGAACCTAAATTCACGCCATGTGCCCAATAGTTGTCCGTATATTGTTCCGTGTACTTTCTTCTCCATTCACCTCGTTGCCTGTTCTGTCTGTTTGATTTCCGCGGGTCCTTCGAGTACTTCTTACCCTTCTTTCGGGGTTTTAATCTTTGGTTCTGCGGCGCGTAAGGATCCGTCGTTTTCTTACGCCTTCTAGCTACAATTTAAACAATTAAACTCATTAGTGATATCGCCGCGATTTTCTTTTTCTTTTTTTTTTTTCCTTTCTGTAGCAAGCAACGAGATGGAACTTTACCGATACGTCCAGCCGGCACCTCGCACACGTAGTGCTTTCGTTCGACGCAACTTCGTGGGCTCCATTTATACCTTAATGCCGGATCGATCGTGATGCAGTGCCACGCATACTGTTGCTTCGAATCGTTGGACTGAGGTAGCCCGAAATTTTGGAAGACCACTTTCTCGCCGGTCACACCCCATTCCCAAGCCATTTGCTGCCAATTGTATATCCCGCCGATCCATCGTTCCAATTTCGCTGGAATGTACAATGTTTCAATCGTTTTTATAATCAATTATATCCATCCAAATTATATTTTAGACTCTCTTGAGTGTTGGGCAAGGATGTATTTTACATTTTTTTTTAAATGATTTTTCTTTTTTTTCTTTTAGAAAACCACTTACTGAATTGGTCGCTCGACAAGTACTTCCTCAGCATCCGATCTTTCCCGTTTCTGTCGAGGATCGCCAGAGTGGCGTTTCGATCTTTGCAGTGAAAATAGGCTTCCCTCCAAGGTGCCGTACCTCCGCTCAAGTAGTAGCAATATCTTTTCAATCGGAAGAACCCAACAGGGCACATGTATCGCCTTATGCTTTCATTTTGTCGGCCAACTCTGACCCTGTGCGTGGCCGTTGGATTGATATTGTTGTTGTGCGGTTGTACTATTACAGCTGATATGCCTGTAAAATGATAGTTGAAGGGCGTTAAGTGGCTATTCACATTCGTAAATTCATGAAGGAAAAAAATTTGTGAAAGCAATTGATACATTAACAAGATCTGTTTTCATAAATAATTCCACTTTCGATAGCAATAGCAATTTTTCCGATCATTAATTATTGACACGCGAGAGACGTTCTATCTTCTTTGCAATATTTTTGATGAAAACGAAAATCTGTTTTCGCGTACTATGTACTCGAACAGAAGAAAACATTCCATGAACAATCGATCAAACGTTCCAGTAGTTGCGAAAGAGTAATTTTCTAATTTCTTCTAATTCCGTCATTCTTCGTATTTGTCGTCGAGTAATTTATTATTATTTGCCGCTGCGCGTATTAAGATTAAACTATCATTATATGGAGACAGATTTGTGGAAACGAAGATCTTGGGCGCCAATAATACTTTTCTTAGCTGGTCCTCGCTTTTTCTTTTTTTTTTTTTTTTTTTTTTTT